AAAAAACATAAAAATCAGTGTGGGTATTCAATAAAAAAAATAATTAAATGTGTATTTACAAATGGGAGAAGGAACTGGGCCTTGATTTTTTCCCCTCAGCAGATCCATAGGATTCTTAAAATGACACATTCTTCCTCTAATAGCTCAGGAGTGTTCAGGAGTCCTCCTTATAAATTTCTTACTCGATGGTATCGGACCACCTCCCGTCTAGCTCAAATTTTCCCTACTGCTAATCCCCTCTGTTGGAGAACATGTGGTCAAAGGGGTACCTTTCTTCATCTCTGGTGGACCTGCCCTAAAATTGCACCCTTTTGGCCTGCAATTTTCCCATGGATACGGAAACTGACATTGAGCCCAATGGAGCAATCTCCCTTTTGTTTACTTTTTCATGTGATGTCAATTTCCATGAAGGCCTATAAACGTAGTGTTACACCCCATCTTCTGAAACGCGGCTAGATCTTTGATCCCTAGGTTCTGGAAACAGTCTAAATGCCCCACGCTTTCGGATTGGAAACAGGAAGTGGATAGAATTATGGATGATGAGCATTGGGTCCACCTGGTTAGAGGTCAGGGAGAGAAATTTAAAGATATCTGGCAGGGGTGGATGTTTTACTCCTCTGAGATACCAGGTGCAAGAGTCTTCTCGAGTAACTTCTCTATTTTGTGCTCCCAGCCTATGCTAAACGTACAGTCAGGTCCATAAATATTGGGACATCGATACAATTCTAACATTTTTGGCTCTATACACCACCACAATGGATTTGAAATGAAACAAACAAGATGTGCTTTAACTGCAGACTGTCAGCTTTAATTTGAGGGTATTTACATCCAAATCAGGTGAACGGTGTAGGAATTACAACAGTTTGCATATGTGCCTCCCACTTATTAAGGGACCAAAAGTAATGGGACAATTGGCTTCTCAGCTGTTCCATGGCCAGGTGTGTGTTATTCCCTCATTATCCCAATTACAATGAGCAGATAAAGGGTCCAGAGTTCATTTCAAGTGTGCTATTTGCATTTGGAATCTGTTGCTGTCAACTCTCAAGATGAGATCCAAAGAGCTGTCACTATCAGTGAAGCAAGCCATCATTAGGCTGAAAAAACAAAACAAACCCATCAGAGAGATAGCAAAAACATTAGGCGTGGCCAAAACAACTGTTTGGAACATTCTTAAAAAGAAGGAACGCACCGGTGAGCTCAGCAACACCAAAAGACCCGGAAGACCACGGAAAACAACTGTGGTGGATGACCGAAGAATTCTTTCCCTGGTGAAGAAAACACCCTTCACAACAGTTGGCCAGATCAAGAACACTCTCCAGGAGGTAGGGGTATGTGTGTCAAAGTCAACAATCAAGAGAAGACTTCACAAGAGTGAATACAGAGGGTTCACCACAAGATGGAAACCATTGGTGAGCTTCAAAAACAGGAAGGCCAGATTAGAGTTTGCCAAACAACATCTAAAAAAGCCTTCACAGTTCTGGAACAACATCCTATGGACAGATGAGACCGAGATCAACTTGTACCAGAGTGATGGGAAGAGAAGAGTATGGAGAAGGAAAGGAACTGCTCATGATCCTAAGCATACCACCTCATCAGTGAAGCATGGTGGTTGTAGTGTCATGGCGTGGGCATGTATGGCTGCCAATGGAACTGGTTCTCTTGTATTTATTGATGATGTGACTGCTGACAAAAGCAGCCGGATGAATTCTGAAGTGTTTCGGGCAATATTATCTGCTCATATTCAGCCAAATGCTTCACAACTCATTGGACGCTTCACAGTGCAGATGGACAATGACCCAAAGCAGACTGCAAAAGCAACCAAAGAGTTTTTTAAGGGAAAGAAGTGGAATGTTCTGCAATGGCCAAGTCCATCACCTGACCTGAATCCGATTGAGCATTTTACTTGCTGAAGACAAAACTGAAGGGAAAATGCCCCAAGAACAAGCAGGAACTGAAGACAGTTGCAGTAGAGGCCTGGCAGAGCATCACCAGGGATGAAACCCAGCGTCTGGTGATGTCTATGCGTTCCAGACTCCAGGCTGTAATTGACTGCAAAAGATTTGCAACCAGGTAGTAAAAAATGAAAGTTTGATTTATGATTATTATTCTGTCCCATTACTTTTGGTCCCTTAACAAGTGGGAGGCACATATGCAAACTGTTGTAATTCCTACACCGTTCACCTGATTTGGATGTAAATACCCTCAAATTAAAGCTGACAGTCTGCAGTTAAAGCACATCTTGTTCGTTTCATTTCAAATCCATTGTGGTGGTGTATAGAGCCAAAAATGTTAGAATTGTGTCGATGTCCCAATATTTATGGACCTGACTGTACACTTGGGTATTTTATATTGCTATTTGGTTGATATTGCTTCTGCGGATCTGATTCACTGGACGTTTTATGGAAGTTTGGTGTTTTGTTTTGTTTTTTTTCTCTTTCCCTTCTCTCCCTTACCTTCTTCTTTCTCTACTTTGCTCTTTTTCTTTTCATTTATTTGCTTGAAATATTGGAATTACTAATTGTCATAGATATTCTGCTTATGCGCAATTTTGGCCAAGGTATTTGTTTACCTCTGTTATACGGTTTCTTCTTGCTTCCCTGTCAGATTGAGATATATCTGCTGATTTATTGTTTACTCTATGTCATCGGAAAATGTTAATAAAAATTGATTATAAAAAAAAAGTGTGTTTTTACATATAAGTAGCACATTTATCTGTACCTTTCTTGATATTAGTCTACAGTAACCCCCCACACTTGGAACACTCTTAGGCAATCAGGGCTGTATTGCATTTCTGTAAGGAGGGGACAGCATAGTTGTGATCAATGTGCTTCTTGTTTATTGTTTTGTCATAAATGAAATGCGTCCTAGATCGGCTGCATTGCTTAAAAGCAGTGTAGTGCATGGAGTGGTGCAGGATTACATCATGGGGTCTTGCAGAGGTGTCCAGATCACAAGACTGGTTGATTTAGGTTTGGTACACACAGGCTTCAAACTCAGAAGCAAGTCAAATGTACCATGTTTTCAGAGAAAAGTGGCTGATATTTTTGAACGTCAAACATAACTCTGAGATTGGTTTTGGATTCATTTGGCTGCATGATGCATGCAATAGTAACAATCAACACATACCTGGAAACTCTTGTAACCCTGGAGTTTCCCAAGCATGTTAAATAGGGGTGTTGCCAAAATATTGGCATTTTTAATGGTTTGGCTGATCTCTGGGGCAGTTAAATTCTAGTAAAATGGCCTTCAAAGGAAACAGCACTGACTTGGTCTCACACGGACAGCACTCTAGTAAATTTGGCACAAAGTGGATATTACATTTGGCAATTGTGACAATACATGGACAATCAACAAGAAAGAATGACAACACATGGGCCATGAATAAGCAATTGTGATATTACATATTGAGGAAACAGAGCAGGGCGCCAGATTGGTGTATGGTTAAAAGCAACACTTTAACCATGGCACTCTATGGATTATTCACTGTGGACTCGAGTGCTGATTGTGCTTGTTTAATCACAACTTCAACTGGTTACTGATATTACATATTGGGCAATCATTAAAATAGGTGAGCAAAACACAAGTAGTCATAGCAATACACGGACATCAAATGGGAAATCATGGAAGCACATGGGCAATGGGTAGCTGTCACAATACATGAAAAACACAAATGTCCAAAAAAGTATTCATTTGATAAAACTATTAAAATATAGCTGTTTTAATTGTGTATTTAGCTAATGTTATTTCATTTCTGTAAAGTCAAAGGAGATATTTTATCCTCCTGATCCCTATATTTTAAAAATAAACTCCTTGTATCCTTGTGAAGAAGGTGACTACTTAAATAAGCTGCACTGTTATCCACTGGAGGGCAGATATTCTAAAATATGGTTGCTTGGCACTATAGCACAGCGTCATGGCAGCAAAATCACACAGCAGGAACCCTGAGGCGTCTTATGGACCCTATAATAAACTAGCTCAAGTAGGACTTCTGGATTACCACACTTCTTTACAGGAGGCATGGTTTTGCTTTAAATGTTATGTTCTTAGTTGCACTCTTTTTAGAAGTGTTTTAGAATAATGTATTTTCTTTATCTTTCCTCTATTTCAGTTTTTTTTGTTCTTATTTTGCATGCTTTCCACTTTTGTAAGAGATCTTGTCACCACCTGGTACCCCTAATCATTATGACAGGTAAGGAATTTTTTCTAAGAGTATTACCGGAAACCTTGCCTTTCCCAGCAACGTGCTCCAATCAGCCAAGATATCTGTATTACGATTTTCCAGCAAACCGGTCATAAGAAAGCCTTGACTGAGTTGAAATTAACCTACTTAAAATTAACAAATAGCAAATTGAGCTAGTCAAATCCAGATCTACCCAGATCTAAATGAATGACGACCCAAGTAAGCTTGGATTATATGGAATGCATATCACTTTCTCCAAACCTTTAAAGGAAAGTCATATACTTTTAGAGCAGCAGGATGTAACTAAATGAAATATGAGCTACATTCCTACTGTGGAAGAATTTTATATAAACCCTTTGTCAGATTTTCTGGGAAAAGAAAAAGTTCCCTTTTCTTCATCTTTTTTTTTCTAAATGTAGAATAAACTATGGGTGTTGGTTTGAAAATTGTTCAGACCCTTGTTTGCATACCTTGATTCAAGTTTCAGTAATGCAGTACAAAGGGCGGTAATCATTTACAAGGTAGAATATCTTATATGAACTGGTTTACTGAAGTCCAGAATGAAAAGAAAAGTTGCTTTATCCTGTACAGCAATAAATGTGAACAGCAGCTAATAAACAAAAATAGTGACAGCTATGCTGGGTCTGTGTGACCTTGTGGACGTTTGCACAGCTGCTCCATTTGCAACCTTTCTAGTTTTGGCCTAGAAGCAGAAAACAGAAATCGGATAAGTACACTTTTATATGCATAGTCTGTGTTATTTAGTGTTGGAGTGAATAATGCCCAGCATGGCACAGACCCAGGGGCGGTCTGACAACTCATGGGGCCCCCGGGCAATAGGGGATCATGGGGCCCCTGTGTCCTTGTCCAAACTCAAAAAAGCCTATGAAAAAGGTACCAGGGGCATCTCATGGGGCCCCCTACTGACCCCGTGCCCTCGGGCAGTGCCCAAGTTTCCAAATTGTCAGTCCGCCCCTGCACAGACCCTTGCATCTGCAGGTGCAGGTGCCTGCCTCTAGTGAGAGTATACTGACTGCCAGTGGATGAAAAGACTGCATCGGACTGGTACAGGACAGGCAGTTCAAAGAAGGCTTTTCTCTAAAAGTCATCAGAGAATATGGCAGTATATCATCCACCTATTTCAGGGATGGAAAGTTTTAGAAAACCACATACTCCTGTTAAAGAGTTTTACCCAGACTAAACTGACGCTAAAATCATTAAACAGTTGATTCCTGAAGGAGACAAGACCTCTTGTCTGCTGTTCCAATTACAAGAGGCTCTTTATCTTGAATCTCTAAATTATGGAAAGTTCAACAGTGCAAATGGAAAGACCCTGTTTTAACCTGAGACATGACATTACATGGTGGGTGGCAGAATCAGAGCTGAGATCTACAGTATGGATTTATCCCAAATGGTAACTCCGAGAGATAAATAAAGCCTGCAGGTGATTCAGGTCACCAGACTCCACTTATAGCCAAAACATCAGTTTTGCTTGGACTGACATTTTGATCCCTTAAGCAGAAATCCTGTATGGCTGAAAATATTAAAGCAGAACTACACTGCATCTAAACACCACCTAAAAATGCTATTGAATTAATTTTTAACCCTTTGGTGCCGGCGCCTCCTGGGCTTTCAAGGGTTTCAGAAGTCGGGAGGCAGGGTGGGGTTTTAGGGTCATGTGACCACCATGATTCGCAGTCATGGCAGTCACATGATCAGGAAAGGTCCCGATCGAAAGAGGAGATCGGGACCTTCTCGTGAGTACCAGACACGTATGCTGGGAGCACAAAGGGCACGCGCTCCCAGCACATATGTTTTTCTTAATTGCACGCAAATGTGCAGCCACTAGGCGTCAAGGCCCAGACACCGGGAGGCCGCACATTTGCATGCAGCTGACGCCAAAGTAAACTCAAAGTATATAATATTCAAAGTAAACTCTGTGTCTCCATTGACAAACATCAGCCTAGTACTTCTAGATTTGGCCATCTTGAGTAGGGGCAGAAGATTAATGTAGCACTTATTTCCTGGAATCCATCTGCCCTTAGCTCAGGTTTGCAGGCAGGAGGGTGCGCTTAGCTGAAAAAGCCCCTCTTGAAGACTCCTGGGATGTATGACATCATTTACCTAAGCCTGAAAACCAGAAAGTAACTGAAGAAATGTAAAAAAAAACAGATAAATATACTTTCCTATCTATTAACTAATGTTAGCAGCATAGGGATTAAAAATAGAGGGAGAATTTCCACTTTAAATGTTTGTTTCCTTCACTGTTGTTTGTCTACTGGGGAACTAATATAGGGATAACTTATCTTAACCTGCAGTCCCACAGAAGCCAGCAGTGCAATCTTTTTCTAGGTGGTCCCTTGACATCATCTAGTAAGTACCATTCAGGACCATGAATGTACAATGCCGGTTATGATGATGTATGCATGAAGGGTTTCCGACATGACAGGAAAAGAAAAATGGCTTCATGGGACATATTATTACTTCCAGAATTGGAAATTAGAGGGGAAGAAAGACTGTGGGAATAAGTATTCCTCTCTATTAGATTCCCAATACAGCACATTTCTTTTTTGACAGCCCAGAGCTGGGCTTTCAATTTATTAAATATCAAACCTGTTTTATACTTTTTATGCATATCATTGATGTGTCTGGTAAATATCCAGTCATGTGAAAAAAATGAGGAAATTGTTAACTTTATCAAATATTTAACTGCTTCCTGACCACCCTTTAGCAGTAATACTGCTACAGGGCAGCACAGGTGCGCAAAATCATGTATATATACATGATTTTGCATTTCCGGGTAGGGGGCGACCGCGGCTGTCAATCAGCGGGTCCTGGCCGGTCATTACTCGCTGGAGCCCGGTGATTGCCGAGCATCTTCGATGGGGAGGAGAACTATTTGTAAACAAAACAGTTCTCCTCCCTGTCAGCTCATGCACACTGCTTTGGATGGCTGTGACATGCAAAGCAGTGTGCTTACAGTGAAGCACACGGACACAGCACTTAGGAAAACACAGCACACAGTTAACCCTTTGATCGCCCCTCATGTCAACCCCTTCCTGCCCAGTGCCATTAGTACAGTGTCAGTGATTTTTTTTAGGACTGATCACTGTATTGGTGTCACTGGGGATGTCAGTGACAGCAAGTCAGTTCGCCCCAGTGTCAGAATGCCCGCCGCAGTCCTTCTATAAATTGCTGATCGCCACCATTACTAGTAAAAATAAAAAAAAATCCCAGTATATATACTGCCATTTGTAAATGCTATAACTTTCACGTAAACCAATTAATTTACACGTATTGGGATTTTTTTTTAGCAAAGACATGTAGCAGAATACATGTTCACCTAAATTTATGATGAAATTAGATTTTTTAATTTTTTTTTACTGGACATGTTTAATAGCAAAAAGTCAAAAATATTGTTTTTTTCTAAAAATGTATGTTTTTTTTATTTTTATAGCACAAAAAATAAAAAAAGTACAGGCGATCAAGTACCACGAAAGAAAGCTCAATTTGTGGGAAAAAAAGGATGTAAATTTAATTTGGGGGCATTGCAGCATTGCAATGGTCAGTTAAATTAACGCAACACCGTAACGCAAAAAATGGCCTGGCCAGGAAGGGGGGTAATTCCTCAAGAGGGCAAGTGGTTAATTAAGCAAACAATAGATCTGTATTTAAACAGATAAAGATGAAAAAAAACACAATAATAATTACTATTATTCTTGTAGGCATGTTGTATAACTGCCCACCAATCTCTGACGTCGACTCTGACAATTCGAAGTAACAATTCTGACTGACTTTTCTCCAGGTTTTTGGGTTTTCTTCCATAAACTACCCGTTTCAAAATTCCCCTACAAACTTTTAATAGGAACCAAGTTAGGGCTTTGACTAGGGTGTCTTTGAGCCTCTATTTATTCTTTATTTATTCATTCCTTGGTGAATGTATTAGTGTGCATCATAGTGTTGAAAGACCCATTTGCAGTCCAACTTCAAGTTTTGGACAGACGGCCTCACGTGCTCATCAAGCAGTATTTCATGATGCAGAATGTATAGCTGACTCAGTGACTGCAAGCTGCCCAGGCCCAGAAGCAGCAAAGCACCCCAAATGCTTGTTATGAGGTTCTTCTACTCACTTTGGTTTGTGGCAAAATGTCTATTGTTACTGTGACCAAACAACTCTATTTTTGAATGATCGGTCATCAGCCCATTGTTCCAGAAGGCCTGGTTGTATGCTCAATGGCAAACTGTAATCTTTCTCCAATGTACATTTTTCGGACATCAAAGGCTTTTTCTTAATACATTTCTTATGTAGGTTGGATTGGTTCAAACTCTGACTGTAGATGTATTGTGTGTATGCACTTTGATCCCAACTGATGCAAGAGTTACCAGAATACCCCAAAACTTAATTTGGACATTCTTGAAGACTTCTTTTAGCATTAAATGGTCAGCTCTTGGGTTGAATTTGCTAGGCTCCCCTGTCTTTGACAAATGACAGTTGTTTGAAGTCTATGCCATCTGTAGATTACTTTCCTTACAGTGGACTAATTGATTTCAGATTCTTTGTTGATCTTTTCTGATGGCCTTAGAGAGTTCCATTTTTCTTGGCATATTGACACCACATACATCAATAGCAAAGACTACACCAGGCCTTAGATATCTGATTTTTAAATAAGACAAGTTTCACCTGAATACTCCCTCTATCGATTGACTTCTGTTGAACAGACCTGTTGGGGAAAAGCCACTCGGCCATTGACTGCAGCACTTAGCTGTGTATTCTGATAGCAGAGAAGTACCCCCACTGTCAGAATATAATAGCAGAGTAGGGAGGATTCCCCCATCCACCTCAGCTGTGTGAATGTGTGAATCGGTTCAGTTTTTTTTTTTCAAACTGCTGGCTGATCAAAAAAAAAAAAGTTTAAGATACAACTTTTTACACACCAAGAGGGGTTCTCGTTCTACTGCTTATTTCATTTTTTTCTCTGTGGCACATATTCCTTTACAGTAATTCCCCCTCCTATCCCTTCCCACATGACGACTGAGGTAGCAGCTAGAAATTCCTGAAGGGATCAGACATCTAATTAAAATGGCTAGATTCTACCAGCTCAACAATTTTATCTTAACTTTCCTTTCAAAGTTCACTAAACAACATTGTTCTCAAGGGGAGCAGGGATTCTGAGTGATTGCATTATAATAGAACCAACCCTTCTTATCTGCCTCAGTAAATCTTCTCTTCTACTTGCCCAGAAAAAAAATTATTTTTACTCAATGGAATGTATATTTACAATCTGCATTGTGAAAAATATTGCCATTCTATGATATCTGCCATAAGGCTCAAAAGATCTGGCATTTTTAAGAGTTTGATAAGCTGCAAAGGGATTGGCCGTGCAACAGACTCAACCTTATATTGCAACGACAGGCCCATGAAGGGTTCCCAGCAGGATGACTACTCAAGTCATCCAAAGCTCCTATCAGCTCAAAGATGTAAGCATGTATGATTCACCAACAGACAACTCTATTGCTGTTAATTCACACTAAAATTAGACTGGTTTATGACTATGGCCCTAATAATACAGCTGTTTTTGCTGTTCTGTTTTGTTATCTGACACTTATTGTATATATTGCATGAGGTGATTGTAGCCGTATTAGTGCATTTGCGACAGGAACAATTGAGTACTGTCCGTGATATTTTTTTTATTTGCACTAACATACAATTTAGAGGACAAGCTTTCGGGGAATGTCCTCTTCTTCAGGTGTTGAAACAAAGATTTAGCAGAATGTTGGAAGAGATGTAGGGGATGGGATAAAAAAAAAAAAACAGACATAAGATACAGCAAAAGCAAAGTCTGGGGGGGGGGGGGGGGAACAACACTAGCAGAGGCAGTCATGCT